AATGCTCATGTTGACGACACCAAGACCCAGGACGTGGTAAGAGTCCAAGAGAGGGACGGAGAAGGGGAAAAGAAGGAGCAACGGTTACAATGCGGTATTTCCATGCTCGTCTTTATAAATGCGCTGATGGACATTTGATTGGGTTTCCGGGTCATCCAGACACTCGGCGAGAAGTGTGGGACTCTGACTCAAGGCCGATGGTTTGTATCCAGAACAACCGCATCTCGTCCCTTTTTGACAGGGTTCTACCCACTAGTCGCTCGCCAAGCGGACGCGAGAAAATCGCCCAAAAATAAAATAAAATGTTGTAACGACCAAGGTGTTTGTTGGATCTTTTTGAGAGTCGTTTAAAGTGGACTTGGAGTACGACTTTCCTGTTTTGTCTAGTAGCGGCAGAGAGGTAACCGTCCGCCGAAATGAATTGGGCCCGACCAGACAATTCCCACGGGGCACCCCATCCTCACCGCGCCTCGCAATCGGTTATGCGTATGGCGATGTTGGACCAGAGCCAGTCCCTGTCGGAGCTTGAAAATGGAGGCAGTTCCGAGGCGACCAGGCCGTCCAATTCCGAGTTGAAAAAGTCGTCGGTGGAGGTCGTGTCCAACCTGGGAAAGAGCTGTGGCGTCGACTCGGAGGACAAGTTGTCATATAGATACTAGCTACGGTATACATTCATTAAGAGTCAAGTTCTCGTAGTCTGATTAGACTCTGAAAGAAGGATTTCGAGTAACATCCTATGGATTTTGCCAGCCAGGAGGGGGGTTTTGGGGTGGTGCGTACTGGTTCTGTTTCTTGATTACAACATATTGCATCACAGGTTGTGACTGCTGCTGCCAGTTTGGCTGTGGGTGCCACGACTGGAGTAGAGCTGGGTGGGTTTGCATCTCTTGTTGACCGTTCGGCTGTTGATATCCGTTGATCTGCCAGGGATATTGCTGCTGACCAATTGCATACGGTGTGGTCTGGCTGGGGTATCCTGACGATAATACTCCTGCTCCTTCACTCGGGATATTGTCCCTCACCACTCCTGGGACGACCATAATGGATATCAACACCCATACAATGGACGTACGGGCGAGACCATCCACGATGAAATGGGAAAGCAACAGTAGTTTGCGGCCCTCATAGTCGCTCTGCATGCGCCACCAGAGGACATGATACGTGAGTGACTCGATAAACAGGACCAAGAAAAGAGGAGATGCCCCAATTAACAGTCGCTTTATGGTCTATATTTTCATGGAATGGTTAGCCGCCAAAAGTCAGGGAAATGGACAAAGAAGACGTACCAGGTCGACAATG